TGGTGTACAGGCCAGAGGAGCAAGGGTAGAGAAAAAGTGGGGAACAGAACAGGCAGATCGACAAAATTCACTGAGGGGAGCAGCGGGCAAGATAGGAGAGGCCTGCCACGCCACGTGGGTCAGCTCCAGGGCAGGGAACTAGACTTAGACTGTAGGATGATAGGGCTGAGTTTTCACCCCTAAGCCACTAAGGAGGCCCATATTTGTTAAATTTGTAATGACAAATGCTCATGTTGTTATTTTTACATTTCTTCATAGTTACATATTTCATAAGAAGAAATTATAGAAAATAAATATTCCAATGTAAACAGTTTTCTATTCTGACTCACTTAGCAACTTTGCTTATTCCGCCTTGCATGTCTTTCCCACCCCTTTCCCAGAAACTCACACCCCCACACCTCTCCTTCAAGGCGCTTTTGTGGATCGTACATGTCCTGCCGCCACGGGGCCAGAGGCTTTGGCATGCCCGTGTCAGAGACAGGATGGGAGAATGAGGAGGAGAAAGGCAAAGCAGGCCCCGAGGAAGAGGACAAGTCACCTGAGCCCATCTGCCTTGGAACTTGACTCTGTCACTTCCAACCTGGGCTCCTTGAAGGGCTTCTCAGGCCTTCATTCCTCTGTCCTCTTCTGTGAAACAGGAACACAATGCCCCCCCACCCCCACACCCACGGGGAGGCGGCAGGCTTCGAGGAGCAAACACATTCAGAAGCACTCCAAGCATGGCACAGAATCAACTCTACACATGTTGGTTATTCTTTATTCTTTTGAAACCTTTGCATCCTTACAGTTAGCACAGTTCTGTGTGATTAGGTCAAATAATTGGAAAAAACTATCACCTGCTTAACTGAGTTATGGCCCTGGGTTTATCTGCTCCTGGCAGCACACGCTGCTCTAGATACAACAATGTCATGACTCTGGTTTACAAGATCTACAAGTTCAGGTAAGCTTGGTTAAAACAGGATCGAGGTGGAAAACGTTACGTGCTAATAAAAAGAGAGGAAGACTGCGTGCGACGTGATCTTATCAGGGCCTCAGCTTCAGTACTCTTCATGGAAAGGGAATTCATCCAAATGAGACAAGCTGCAGGAAAACAAGCAGAAAGAGGAATGTGGGACATTAGGCTCACGTTGAAAGTTATCCTTGTCTAGTGTTCTATGGTCTTTCTGCTCTCTCTTGGGTTCCTTTCTCCAAGATTCTATGAGGGTTCCCACATCAGCCTTCCATCAAGCTGATCTGAAAGCTGTGCTGAGGAAGGAGGCAAGAAGTGACCAGAGCTCCAGAATAAGCTTGTAATGAAAGCTGGTAAGCCTGGGACGAAGCAAGTGCGTGATGCCTTTTAAGAATTTGCTCTCATTTTCACAAAACTGTGTGAGGGAGGATCTCAGCAGAGTAGTTTGAGACTATTGTGAGCATTAATAGTATATGCAAAGGGTTAGCATGCCTGGAACATTCTCAGTTAAGACTCAGTAGGTGTTAGCTGTAAATGTCAATGTTGTGAATAAAGAAACCAACTATTCGTGGAAGAAATGGGATTTGAACGAGGTGGACATATTCCTGTGCTCTTTGACCTTCATTGTGATGGAGAAAGGAATAGAAAGCAGGCATCACAAGACTGACTCACACAGGGAGTTGGGGGCAGAAGGGATTAGCATGGCCATTGACACAGCTATAGACACCAAGAACCCACTCTCTCTCTGGTGAATCCTCTGGCCTGTACCCCAGTTCTTTATATATAAATAAATAAGATTTTTTAAAAAGAAAGCAAGATCCTTTGGGCCATGGCCTAGATTACAAGCATAGGGTCCAAGCAAGTAGCAGACTACTGTAGGCCTTGTCTATCATAGACCCAAAAGGTGGAAATTAAAGACATGGTGATGGAGCCCTTTGTGGGATCTCCTTTCCCTTACAGGTTCTATTCAAAATCAACAAGCTAGGCTCACAAGGAGAGAGCCCCTCCCAAAGCCTGTATCAGTACAGTCTCTGCCCTGCTTGAGCACCCGTCCTCTGCCCATCTGAGCTTATGCACCCACTCTCTCCCTCTGCAGGGCAGCAGCCTCCTGACTGCCCCCAGGACCTGTACCTGCCAAGACTTCTCTGCACTGACCTCCCTCAGTGGAGACCACTCTCCTAAGGCCACCTGCAGGATTCTCTCTGCAAACCTGTCCCTTCCTGAGCAGCTCTTCCTGCCCGCTTGTGCCTGTACAAATGTCCAACACTCCTGTCCTTTTCCCTAGTAAACCTGTTCTTTAAATATAACTGACGTCTCTGTGTCATGGAGAAACCTGTCTGGGAAACTCACCGTGTGCTGCTGAAACAGGAGCTCTGGTGAACCTTTCCCAGAGTGAACCCAAGCGCCCTGCACTCCAAACCCGCTCACTCCAAAAATGACATCAGTTGGAAGGGTGGGTGGTGTAGAGAAGTACTTTCACCTCCAGAAAGGTCATTTTATGTCTGACCTTCTGCTCCGTCCTTTTGTAACAGGGGCGTCCCCAGGAAAAAGAGAGGTTCCAAGTTCCCTGCCCCACCCCAAGGAGGGTGGAACTAAGCAGGGAGGAGAAGAAACTGAAGAGAAGTGTGCAGAAGGAAGCGGGATGGAGCCAGAAGGAGATCCGAGGGAGCAGAGAGATGTGAAGAAGCAGCTCTGGTCTCTTGGTCCTGGGCGACTTGAAACATATGTGGGTGAGAGACTCGTGGGGAAGTGACTATGGCAGAGTTTATCTTGATTTTGATTCTGCTCTTTTACTCCCAGACTTGTCTGGCCATGTCTGACCCTTTTTCATGGGCTCCTGCCAGAAGTTTCCTTACACTTGTACTGGGCTTTCAGGCCTTGCTTTGGACCAATCCCTTTAGGGTGGACTTTTACCCACACGGGGATGGGTAACTTTGGGTTCTTGACTTGGAAACTATATTCTCTGTCTTTTCTGTAGTGCACACTCATTGTACTAAAGTTCTTCTCCATTAAAGGTCTTATGTGTTTTGTTTTGAGCAGTCAGGCTTGGGGGCTCAAGGGGTTCAAGGGTGTTCTCTCCTTGCGCTGTAACACTTTTCATTCTAAGTTGTTGCTGTCTTGTCCTTCTCTCTGACAAAGTTAGCATGTGTGAGATGTGCAAAGTGGTGTGGGATGGATATGTAATAACACAAAGTGCCAACAACATTTGAGATGTGGAAACACTTTTTTAAAAAATTTAAGAAATTATTTATTATTTAAAAAAAAACTGTGGGAGACAATCAGGTTGTCATGATTAAATTAAATTGGGAACCAGAAAAGGAAAGGAAAAGAGAATTACAAAGGAAGAAGGATGAAGAAACACTTTGAGAACTGACACCATGAGGAAAGGAGTCAAAAGAATTACAGGTTTCCCAGAAGATGAGGAGAGAGACCAAGGAACTGAGAAGCTATTCAAGGAGATAACTGAAGGGACCCTCTCAAGCATGAAGGAGGAATTGAAAACAGATGGGCAGGAAGCTAGAAGAACACCAAATTACCACAATGAAAGGAAAACTAAAGCAAGACACATAATATTAAAAATTATGAAACTGACAAGGACAAAGAAACAGATAACCTACCGAGGAAAAGCAGTCACGTTGACGTCAGACTTCTCCAAAGCATCACTAAGGGCAAGAAGAGGAGAGAGATTAATTTAATAAACTCCAAGTCAACAAATTCCAACCAAGAATGCTCTGCAAAGCTCTTCTTCCTTTATGATGGAAAAATGAAAAACACTCTCAGACGAACAAGAGCTCCATAAATTCATTGTTACTAACACTCCCACTGCAAATATATATGCACATGTATATAGGGGGGAGAGAGGGAGAGAGAGAGAGAGAGAGAGAGAGAGAGAGAGAGAGAGAGAGAGAGAAAGAGAGAGA